GAGGAGTCTATTAATGTTTATATCCACAATATGCTCATATCCACAATATGATCATATCTACATTCGCGGTTCGTCCATTTTACTATCCCATTTTTTCGGCAAGGTCGTTCGTCCCGATGATTTATTGAGGAAAGGGTGAGCATGATATTGGATTTGTATATGTGGTTATTGTTGCTGGTGAGTATAAAGAAGTTGTCATTATGTGGAATATACCTCACAGCATATTGTTTTAGATATAACCAAGTAAGATACCTCACAGCAAAAAGTAGGAAAAACCAAGTAAGTCTTATACAAAGCTGATAGTACAACCATGTGGTTTGACCAAATGGGTTGATAACAAAACAGAGAAGACGTTACAACAATGTAAGTCTGATTACAAAACGGATACATAATAAGATGCAGAAAAGTACAACCTGGAGATAGTATAATCAAATTGGGTTAGGGCATCGTAGTCTGTTATGACCTTCTTTGTGGTAGCGTCCACACTTGTTAGGGATAGTCTTCTTAATTCGATTAGGCTACAAACGAAGGGAAATTGCTGTTAGTAGTCCAATCCTGCATAAGTTAATATATAAGCAAAGGTTATAAAACTAACTGACCCTAAATTCTCCTTGAAACGGAATTCGTTTTTGTTTTGGCCTACCAGGTGGCCTCTTCAATTTTGGAGGCAATAGGATCATATCCAAAATCGACTGTGGCAGGTCGACATCATCCGGGTTTTCTTCAGGATTTATGACTTCTTTGTATGTTGCTGCCCATGTGGTTGATTTGTAGTAGTCCGAAAGCAAAGACGTGTGTGTGAGACCCAAACTGTCTGCGGCTATCAAAGCGTGGCTACAAGGGATCTGTAGACAGTCATACACTTTACAAGTGCATTTCTTGTCATGCACACTCACACGATTTTTCTCACCTAGACGGCCAATTACTTCACAACTCCATGTTGAGAGATGATTGATTTTACTGAAGTTGCCGTCTACCTGGTGTTTGGATAACAATTTGTCCACTTCTGGGGTGCAAAAACTCTCCCACCGAGAAGCTTTCTTTCTGCGAGCACAGAACCATCGAGACATCATCCTCTGGATGAAGACAAGTAGCTCGACAATGGGAGATGCTCTGCCTTTTTTCAGTGCGCTGTTAAGTTGCTCGGCCACATTACTAGTCATCAGGTTGTAACGTTCGCCTCTAAAATGATACAGGGACCAGTGGGCATGACCAATGTTGTCTAAATAAGTAGCACTTTGAGGATTGCAGTCGCGGATTTTTTCAAAAGCCTGACGGAAGTACTTCTGCCTATAAGCATAAGCAGCTTCTGCTAAAAGCTGTGCAAGACCCTTAGTCTTAAATCTAGACTTAACGTTGCGCTGAAGATGAACGATGCAACAGCCGTGATGCACCTTAGGGTATACCTTGGCTTTGGCAGAATAGATAGACTCTGATCTATCAGATATGATAGTTAGGTTAGAGCTGTCTGCTAGTAACCGTTCAACCTTCGTGAAAAACCATGTCCACGCAGCTTCGTTTTCCGCATCCACGATAGCATATGCCAAAGGGAAAACCTGAAAATTCCCATCCTGACCACTTGCTGTAAGCAGAACGCCTTTGTATGTGCCCCACAAATGTGTTCCATCGACCACCAAGACACGCCGTAACCTGCGGAAGCCAACTATTGACGCTCCGAAAGCAACAAAGACATAGCGAAATCTTACCAAGCCATCTTTGTTGGTGTCAGTCTCTAAGTCTGCAACGGTGTTCGGATTTGAATGCTTTAGCATATGAAGATAAGCTGGTAGGCGGAGATAAGATTCTTCATCCTTTCCACGGAAAGTAGCAAGAGCTTGGCCTTTAGCTCGGTAGCATTTCATCCATGAGGCTGATACACGGAGCTCTTGTAAAACTAACTGCTGAACTTCAGACGCCTTTGGTCCATTTTCTGGATCACTGTATTTTGATCTGAAAACAGATGCGATAATTCTAGATGTTGTTTTTTGGGTGTAAGCCTGCTTGGTCTCGAATGCGCACGTGTGGTTTAGGTCAACCATCTTAAGCTCGAAATATCCTGATTTACCAACTCGCCCAGCTCTTATCCGCCAACCGCATTTGGGGTCGGTACATTCCAGTATGAATGTCCTTGGATTAGACTTTGTTTTCCTAAAGCAAAACATCTTCTTAATTGCGAAGACAGCTAAAGCGATTTGACATTCAGATTTACTTCCATCTTTTTTTCCCACATGAAGGTTATCATCGTCGGCGGATCCATCCAGGTCTGGGATAGATGATGCAGCGTAAGTGGAGTCATCAAATAACGGAGGAATATCGAAGTCTTCTTCTGATAAAGACGAGAGGGTCCTGTGGATAGGACTAGTGGGTACCTGACCATGTGACGTAGACGCGGTGGAAGGATAGGTAGTTTCCGCAATTGTGAAAGGTTGCGTGGACTCGGGCACATCCAGAATTTGTGGACATATAATATCATCATCGCAGACAAACTGAGGGGCGTTGGAACCACCATAACCACTTTCAAGAAGAGGGTCCCAGAATTCGTGGTCATAACTACGCGGAAATACATCGTCGAATTCGATATCCTCTGGTACATTATCTGAACTGTGGTCATCTTCGCTATTTGAACTGTGGTCATCTTCACGCTGGACGGCGATAGAAGGGGACTGCGAAACGTCATCTTCAGGAAGGGATAAGTCGAATTTGGGGACATCGTAAGTGTGGTTTATCAGCGGTGTTGTCGTGGTCTTTCTTTGGTGGATAGGTGGTCTTTTTGTAAGTGATTGTACAATTTCAAGCGCATGCTGAAGCAGTTGAGCGTCTTCTATCTGGCCTGCGTCGGTTTGAGGAGTAATAAATCCAGCGGATCTGGATGAGGCACTACTTGCACCCAACGATAGTATGGGTTGGGTTGGGGTGGTAACTGTAGAGGGATCATGAATACATAGTTTTTTACGCGTTGGGCTTCTGCTTCCAGTTTCCAAGGGCGAGTCTGGTGGTTGAGAAATGCCAAACTTGGCGAAAAGCCTAGTTGACGTGTTTTCTGTGAGCCGTTTGAGTAAAAACACAATAGCGCCAGAACTCCGGATAACAACCGGAGGTGTACAAGGACCAAGTTATTAAGTTTGGTAGGCGGTGTCCAATAGGAGACTTCAACGACAGTTTCTTCAGAAGCCGTACCTAAGAATTCTTCGCGGAGAAGTTGGTGAAGCTCCTTAATAGTCATACCCTGACGTAAAGAAATAACTCCAGACATAAGTGAAGGATCAGCGCGAAATGACCATTTCTCGTCGGAGGTATAACGCCATTCACCGGCTGCACATTCACATTGAATGTCCGAGGTAGATGCCATGGTACCTATAATCGTAAGGAGTAAATGTGAGAATATGTAGTTAATGCGTATTGGGAATGAGACTATTTAGATTAGTTAGAATAACAAACCTAGGTGACGACCTAATAAGAATGAAAGGAGGGTTTATTCTTTAATGTTATGTTTAAATATGGGAAAGAGGGATAAATGAGGTAGATGGTCCCGTTTATATATTTTAGATAAGAAATGGAACATCCCAAAAATAAAACTTTTGCCGCGAAGATTCTTGGGTTGCGTGATTTTTGAACTAGACACAAATGACCTGTCTTTTGGTGTGTGCATCTACGCGGAAATGAGTTTGAGTGGTTATGTGTCTGAATGACCATGTAGTTAATAAATTGTGGTTTTGTGTGATCATAAAAGTTTGTGTATGTAACCACAGAGTTTGGAACATAAAACGTATATGTGTGGATGACTAACCATGAGTTTGTTTGGGGGAACACTCATAAACTTAAACTAATAAACGTAGATGTGTGGATGACTAAAAGTGAGTTAGTTGTCTTGGAAGCTAGGTAGGCCTTTTTAGTCAAAAGGCAACTAGCATTAAAAAAGGATGGTAACAGTGAACTATCCTGTGGCACGCTTATGGAGATGTATTCGGCAATTGGATGTATATTCTGACGTACTTCAATCATTTCGGACGTTTAGAAAAGCGATGGGCAATATAAATCTCTGGATATTATCCACTTAAAAAGTGACAGGTGGACTGGTTAATCACCATTAAAGAGGTGTGTGGAATCGTGATGGTAGAGTTCAATAGTGGAAACTTCCACGGATAAAGGCAAATTTGTTAAGTTCAGACTGAGTATGGTTGGGATATATAAGAAATTTAAAAAAAAAACCATTTAGACTTGTCATAAAAATGGTTGCGGTAATATGAAAGAAATTCACTAAAGTGAGGATTACATAACTGGAATATGCAGAAAAGCAGGAACAGAAGCTGGGATTTATAACATACAAAAAAAGACCCAGGGATGGTCAACTTAGCCGATTACGAATAAAGGACAAAAAAAAAAATGCAAATTACAAGACTACCAAAAGGAAGATTCGACGTTGGCCCCAAAAAGCATTATCCATCCTTCGCTTGAAACTTGTAGTAGGTTGATGCTGATCCATTTACTGGGACTAAGAAAAATGTAACACGTTATACAGTGGATAAGAACATCGTTAAAAATTAATTGGTAAATGGTAATTGTTATACGTAAATTGTTACCATGCGGGTCTTAGGCCTGGGACGCCCTACCAATGGTCTCGAAATCGGTGGTAGCAGTTCAGTTGCCCCGTCGGCGGTGGCCTCAGCTGGAAGAGGCTCCTGGCAAGGGTACAGTTGAGGAATGTACGTTTCAAACCAGGCAACAGAAGTATAGCATGTGTGAACTAAGGACTCAGCTGAAATGCGTAATGCATCGGATGCGACCATGGCGTGGATACAGGGTATCCAGAGTTTGTTAAAAACTTTGCAGGAACATGTCCTCCTTAGAGGATTGACAAAGTGAACTTCGCCGACTGAATTTACAACCTCGCAAGCTCCAGAGCTAATATGCAGAACCTGCCATTGGGACTTTCTGACAGCTAATTTATCCATGAAACCTTGAACACCAGGAGACATCACGCCTGGGTGATGCATTGATGCTCAGAGCCTTGTTTGGAGCCAGCGCATGACAGTTGTGTGGTAGAAGTTGAAGAGGTTAATAATAGGGCCAGTTGTTTGTGGGAGCAGTAAATGGATGAATCCATGAGCAATACTAGCAGTCATGATGTTGTATCGGTCGCCGACTTGATAATAACTCAGCCAACGAGGGAAGCCAATAGATTGTAGATAGGCAGCGCAGTCAGGGTTGGATTCATTAATCCGGTTGAATGCCCGCCGGAAAACGCCAATCGTGTGAGCACAAGCTGCCTCCCGCACCAAGTTGGTAAGACCAGTGTCGTGGAAGTACAGGTTCAGTGATAGTTGAAGACGACGTAGGCAGTCAACGTAACTGGCTTCAGGAAAGCATGCTGAGATAGCTTTTTCAGCCATTCCACCGCCATCAGATAAAATGGTTGTCTTGTTATCGTCTGGGAAACACTGTTCGAGCTGGTGAAAAAACCACCTCCATGCCTCCTCGGTCTGACGTTCAACTACAGCAAAGGCTAGGGGGTAGGTCTGGAAGTTGGCATCTTGACCGACGGCAACAATGAGAAAGCCAGAATCCGAACGTCTGATATGTGCACCCGAGACCACCATAAGTTTCCGAAGGAAATGAAAACCTTCCTGGGAGGCGCCATGAGATATAAAGAGGCGCTTGAAATGCTGGGAACCATTTTCGTCGGTATGCATTTCAAGCTTAGTGATAGTGGTGGGGTTAGCAGCTTTCAAGTGGGAGATGAAAAGAGGTATTTGGGAGTATGATTCATCGTTGGGGTTCCCCCTTGACATTGTGGAAGTAGATGAGTGGAAAAAAAAAACAATTTGATAAAAAGTAAGATGGTGAGATAAGAGATATGTTTCGTGAAGGGGGAAGTGTAGTATTTAAACCGCGAGGGTAGCGTGACAGGCGACGTCACCTCCGAGAAGATGTGTGTGCGGACACATTATAATATAAATTATGTGAACGAAACTGGATATATCCATGGGCGAATACAATGTGACCGACGAAACAGAAGAAATCAGCAATAGCTGGGTTGCAAAATTTGTCCGAACTCTACTTTGGATATAGAGATGGCGCATATCATCTATAGCTTGGAGTCAAAATTATATCCATGTACAATGGATATATCCACGTTCAAAATTAATTGAAGTAATTGGAGTATATATTGCCCCCACGTCTTTTTAAGAATTTATCAAGGTACAAATGGTATGATAGCAGAATATGTCTATGAAATAGTTCAGTGATTGAGACCTTTGGAAGAATAGAAGAGGCAAAAATTGTACAAGTCGTGGCTAGACTTAGAAAGATCATGAAGGAACACACATCTACTAAAAAAAACAAAAATAATACAAGTGATAAAACAAACATTTGTGGATCTCAATACATGGACATTTTCGCCACGAGTAGAATAATTCCTCCTAGAAGTAGTGAGAACAGAAGTCTTCGATTTTTCATGACCGTTTCCCGACGAGCTGCTATAGTAAGAGAGTTGGCCAGTTCATCATGCTTTGTTTGAATCTCGCTCTGGATTGTTCGAAGCTCAAGTTTGATTTTTTCAATGTCTTCTATTGCAGTTTCAATATTGTTCCACATTGCCGGAAAATCAACAGGGAGATTGTAGTCGTAGTTGGAAATATACATGATTCTTTCTTCATGTTCTTCCAGTTCATCTTTCAAAATGTTCATCTCCACCGTAATTGCAATATCCCACCATTTGCAAAAACCGCAGCCGCCACCCTACAAGGAATATATAATTGTGTAGGTAATACAATATATTCATTTGATAGAGTTGAAATAAAACTTACCGGCGGAGTGTTACAGTTGTAAAAGCGACGGCCGTAGTTCAGATCCGTTGTCGATGACTGAAGGAACAAAGGACCTCCACAGGAGCATCTTATTGGGATCCCTCTATTTGGTTCAGGGCCCCATTCGAAATCACAATTTTCGGGAACACCTGAACTCCCTGAGCTCGAAGTCGGCAAAGAAGGCATAGCGAGAACTAATTCCCAATCTACAACGGATAGGGATAAAAACCTAAAGAGAAATGGGTAATGGTGATGTATGGGAACAAATAGCGAAAGATAAACGTCTCAACTTATAATGGCAAGATCCAGCGGATACACCATATATGGTGACATCCACTTATAAGCAAATGGATAGCTGCCAAATTGATAAGTTGATCATTTGGTCGAATATATGGACGTATGTCAGAGACAAATTGATCAAATGTATGTATATCCACCTATATATACATGGATATCCACCCACATGTCAGAGTCAAAAATGATCAAATGTAGGTAAATGGATAGGATCCATATATACATGAACGTAGTCGTGGTTAAATAAACCGACATGGAAAAGTTTGCTTGAATTCCGAGACTTTGAAGTAAATGGATAGGATCCTTTTCAAAAATGGATGTATTCTCCTTAAACAGGCACGGTAAGGACAATAAGAATGTAAAAAAATGAGAATGTTTGCTTGAATTTGAAAAATTAACGGCAACCCTACCAGAACCTCTCAAATGTTGACCCTTCCCACTAGAAAGTAACCCGTACGAGTGGATGCGATTAGGTGGACATTTCCACAAGTAATATATTAACTATCACGAGTAGTGACCATGTCCGCATACAAAAAATAGAATAGTTATCTACTGACATAAATAACAGATTAGTTAAACCCACCTTAACATGGCATAGCCAAGACTCACTCATCCACATTATATGACGTAAACGACAATCTAGTTATCTACTGATTTGTAATTAACGACTACCATGGCAAGCATTTACAAACTGTGGATGCAGTGTGGTCAGAACCACAAGCACCTCGAACTCGGAATAGTTGAGGGTAGAAATAATAAGTGAGTAATGGTAAGTTTTGAAATAGCAAATATGCATGCGAGAAAAAATGACACGTGAATTCAAAAAAACGTTCAATGTGTAAGAACAGGCAGACGAGAAAATAGATTCAACAAAAGGAGAGCCTGAGTTATAAGTAGCCGAATAAGTTAAAGCTGAAGGTCTTGGTAAAGGTCCTTGGCGTAAGCTCGCTTCCAGGACATGATAGTGTCTTCTGTAAAGACCAAGCTGTCTTTTATAACGTCGCCAAGTAAATGGCTTTCCATTAGCTTGACTGCAACCGGTCCAGTAAATCCTGATTCTGAGACTCTGTAGTTTCCTTTAATACGTCCCCATTTGAGAGGTTCAACGCCATGCGATTGAGACTGGTTTTCTCGGCAAAACTTCTGGACTATGTATGGTAGCTGGCAGACGACGGGCTCCATGAAAAGAGTTGCATCCTCCTTGTTGGTGACACGGGGATTTGGATCAAGAACGTAGACATACCAGAGCTTCAAGCTAATCATCAAACCGACCCAGTGGTTATTGCCCCACAACATGGGCGTGTACACGCAATCCACGTCCGTAAACCAAGTCTGGCCTTCCTCTGCAACGACTTTTTTGACCTTATCATCCCAGACAAACAAATTCTTGTTGATGACTTACTGAAGGAGCGGTATTTTGATTGCAAAGTTGAAACTAAGGATAGAGTGGTGAAAGAGCATCGCTCAGCCTGAAGAGTTGAAGCATGACGAACAAAGAGATAGGCCATTAAAAGTTCCAAATGCTGTAAAACATGAAAATTCCATTATAAAAGACTTTCATTTTGCTACGGCTGTACTTCCCAAAAAAAGCACAAAAATAATTACCAATGGAGTGGTCAGTGTGTCCTTGTCCACCAGTGTCAAAAAGAAATCGTTGTTGATTTCGCGTCCACACGAAAGTTTATATGTCCTGATAATGGTGCAACAATAATTTAAGGGTGCGACGAACATTATTAGATAAACTCACCTCCAAATAATTTCGTTTTAGTAAAAATTATCTAGACGGGCTCGAAAAAAGCATACCATGGAAAGATTTAAATTTCTCTTCGGTGACTGTGGGGAAAATATTTTGTGGATCCCTTGAGGTTGGGAAAGTATCATGTGGGAGCTGTGGACAAAATAGTGTGGGTTGTAATTTAAGATAGAAACTTTTATAAATTAATTACACGTAGAGTTATGGATGACAAAGCTGACCTGGTCCTCGAGAGTATCTGTGGTGGGGGTCAGGAGCTCCCCAGATTGAATAGTTAGTTGAACCGAGACCTGTCCAATATTTACTTATAAAAGTTAGGTAGGAGGATGAAACAAACGCATCGGCAGATGATCTGTGAGAGGATGATATGTTCAACCTGTGCAGTGATGGTTTCGGAAGCAGATCCGTGGGTATCACCAAAGTTTAGAGATAGCTGCAATGGGAACCACAGGAACCAGTAATTAGTAGCCGTGTGAGTAATGACACCTAGTGTTATGGATGACATAGCAGACCTGTTTTTCATCTGAAGCGTGGTTGATGGGCTGACCAGTTTGAAGAGAAAGTTGTAAAGGGCCATGTCCAAAGTGAATCTTAAAAAATGTTAAGTATGGAACTGACTCTGCCAATGATCTATGGAGGGACGATTTTTGTAAGTTTGGCTAGCACCTGCTCAATGATGGATTCGGTTGACAATCCGTGGCTCTGTCCAAGGGAGGAAGTTATCTGCAATGGGAACTAGCCACTCAGAAATAAGTGTGGACACCAGTAGGTACTTTGGGATCCACAAGACGATGAACAAGCTTCGTACCTTTGGATCCTCTGATGAGTTGGTGGGAGCAACGGACTGAAGATCCACTTGGAGCAGCTGTGGCGATATTTTAGCATAAATTAATGTTGAGACACGGCATATTTTAATTTCGGAGAAGTGGATATGGATATGTGGATACGCTGGCTCATAAATTACCGTATCGGTTGACGCTGGCGCATCATTACAAACTGATGATGGCAAGACCTGACGTGTATGATCGTAGGAACCCTACGATATATGAATAAAGTGAGTGCTGGCAACGTTAATAAAGGTATAAGGCAAAGTCAATCAAATGTGTCGGTAACGGAAGTGAGTGAGTTAAAAATGCAGGGTGATGGTTACAAACGTCAGCACCGAATGAATTGGTTACCTCTATATGTTCATAATCAATCAAGCCAGCAAAATCTCTAGGCAGCCATGTGTTAAGAGAAGCAATAACATTTGAGATGGCTTCATCACTATCAATGAAACACAGTCCCTAATGTGAAGAAACAGAAAACGTTCACCGTTTTTTCACATCAGGAATCTGTGAAGAAAACCTGAACTAATCTGTACTGTTACCGCTAAAAATGGAGCCTGATCAGAAGTAATGTGTTGGCCGGCGGCGGTGTTGAGGTCGGCCTATAAGCATTGCCGAGTTATATAGTATGTCGCGTAATCTAAAGGGAAAGATAACTAGGAAATCTACATAGGGTAGAGAACTAAACCTCAGAACTAACCTGACCGTGAAACTAAACCTCAGAACGGGTACAAACAAAAATTCAAATCCTAAGAAAATACCTTTACAGGTGAACCATTCGGATTAACGGATTGGTCGGCATGTGTTGCCAGCTGCCCAACAGCCGATGTTACATCCTAAGGACAAACTAAGATTTCAAAGACCAAGTCAAAAATCAGGGCAAACGAAGAAAAAGGCAATTCTTTTTACCATTGAAACATCAGGAATCGCCGACGTCGTGGGTTCATTT